GTGGTGATCTGAATGGTACAGTGTCAATAAAAGGATTTGCCTGTGTCTGTGCGTGCATGTGTATGTGTGTCTGTGTGTGTATACATATGGATATACATGGTTGATAGGGTAACACTCTGTAAGGTAAATAAAGCACAGTTAAAATACTGATACCATCTCTACTCTCACTTTTCTCCATCTGTGATATTATGATAAATAGGGGAACCAGTCATCTTTCAAGAGACAGAGCTGCTGAATTTTAAACGAAAAATTAAGTAATGAAATTGGTTTTTAGTGGAAGACTGAGGTCTTACAATGCAATAATTCACAGAAGCACAGTAGGAAAAGCTAAGCAGGAAACTGTTGTATGGTACTTTTATAAAATCCAATCTAAGGCAGAAAGTATTTCTCTGGTCTTTTAAAGTTTCTCATGGTGGAGAGGGGGTCAGTGTCACTGTTAATAAAACTACTCCTATATTTTAACTATTTTCTTCCTAGAAAACAATTACTCTAATTTTGTTTTAAGTTCTAACAACTGGAAAGAAACACCCTTTTTCAGATATGTCAATTTAAATAGTAAAACTATTACCTTATGGACATTTATTTTTATAAGCCACTTTTTTATCTACAACCTAATTATACTTATTAATCCAAAAAACATTATATTAATCTCTTTGGCTACTTCCTAAATTTGAAATGTTTCGTGTTTTCTCTTTTTTCATTTTTTTACATTTATTTATTATTTTACTTTTATCCATTATTATCTTTGTCACTGTAAGTTTAAAATGACAGCTATCTCATAACTTTGCTAACACAGAATTGTGCCTTTTTCTTGTTTTCATAAAATATCTTAAGTAATCCAAATGTTCTGAGTCCTACTGTGTATTTCTACGTAGCCTATTCCATTTCTTGTCATCTCTTAGGACATAACATGCTTTTAACAGCATAGTTTTAATTAAATTTGTAAATTTACAGTATTTTATTGCCTACTACATAAATATAAGAATGCCTAATTTAGATCCGCATGGTAATTTTAAACTCTTTATTACTAAATACTTTAGCAAAATTTTAATGTCATTATGGGCTGTTAATTCTGTTACTTAAAAAGATCCTAAAGCAGAGTGTTTTAAATTTATGTATCACATACAATTCAGCTAAAAAGCCACAAAAAAAATAACCTATACATATGATAGTTAAATTTTAACTAGCATTTAAGAAATGTGATCCAGGATAACACTAACATACTAAAGAATTAAGCGAAAAAATCAAGGTTATAAAAATTTAGAAGGAAATGGAGGATACAATTCATACAGATCAAGAAAAGCGGTTCTGAGACTCTATTCTTACGAAAGACCATTCCGTCCAAGTGTCTAGGAGAAGGGCAGTACTTTGGTTACCTTAGAATATAACACCAAACCCTGGTGTTTCTTTTGAATTCCTTCTCAATCATCAATAAAATATGAAAAAGCAACTATGTAGAGCAGCACTTTCCAACATTTTCTCAGGCTCTTAAAAAAAAATAACATTTATAAAGCAATCAGGAAAGAGGAGTTGCTACTGGTTAAGAGGCAACTAATCTAGAGGCTCCAGCTACTATTTTTCATAACACACAGCCTAGGGAAGCTCTAATTTAGAGTATCAAAAAGGAAACCTATAAAATAAACTACTTTTGTAGGCATCACAAAAACAAGGAAGTTACAGGTAAACATCACAGGAAATACTTTCTAATTACTCTGAATGAACAAACCAATAAATGTATGAGTACTGCTCCAGTTACACACAATGCTGCCTTCCTGAAAAAAATCCTCATTCTGCCTGCTCTTTGTGTGTGCTGTCTTTCTTACTTTAAAAAAAAAAAAGTAAATATAACCCTTTGGGAAGTGTAAAAGACATGTTTTTAGTACAAGTAATTGCAAATCAAAGGCAGGAAAACTCTTCTACCAAAGCGCATTTTTTTCACCCTTGATAAAAGCCATCTTTCTTCTTCACTATTGTTACCAGTATTCTAACCTATAAACACTCTTTAAGCCCTGGCCAGGTAGCTCAGTTGGTTAGAGCAATGTCCCCATATGGCAAGGGTGCGGGGTTGACCCATCCCCACCCTCACCAGGGCACATTCAAGAATCAACCAATGAATGCATAAATAAATGGAACAACAAAATTGATGTCTTTCTCAAATCAATAAATAAAATACTATCAATATTTTTATTAGCTACACAAGTGCTAATTATCAAGTCTTTCTTAAAGAGCACAAGTTTTTCTTGAGGTTTGAGGGGCAGATATCCCACTTCATTTCTAGAATTCATCTAAGGTAGAAGATTCTAAGATATAACTGACAGGCAAAGTAGGTGAAGAACACAGTTTTTAGCAAATATCTTTTATATTATTAAAATGCAGCTTATTCACCAAGAATAATTTTATTTTTTAAAAGGTTTTATTTTTTGGAGAAAGAGAGGGAGAGAAACATCAGCATGTGGTTGCCTATCATGTGCCCCCAACTAGGGGCCTGGCCCACAACCCAGGCATGTGCCCTGACTGGCAACTGAACCAGTGACCCTTTGGATTGCAGGCCGACATTCAATCCACTGAGCCACACTATGTAAGGTTCACTAAGAAGAATTTTAAAGAAAACTACCAACTTTGGAAGAACTTTGTAAATTTATAGACTCAACAGTCATAGAGTATTATTTCTTTCTTAGATAAATCAAAAACCTACGACTTAGAAAACTGGATTAAAATAAAACCAATCAATATAAATATCTATAGAAATGGACATAAAGAATTTCAAAATGCATTTATAATGCATTTAAAAAGAATATACACTTCAATTCTGTATTACTTCAGAAGTATCTTGGAGTAATCTTGGTCAGGAGAGGGGGGCGATTTGTCTGTATATTTCAATATCACTGTGTCACTGTCCCCTTTGCCTTGAGATTCCACAAGACTCAATGTTTTCAATTTATAAACATGAATTATTGTCTTTGATCATACAAGTTCTAATAACCTAAAATGCTTTTCTATATAGCTAATCTCTACATGAATTATGGCAACCCTCCAACTGAATAATTTTTCCTTTATGTCTCCACTGAGATATATTTATTACCCTCTTACACAGATAATAAGCTTTAAGGAGAAATAGGTGAAACAACAGGTGTTCTGATTCCTAGGTCAGTGTTTCTATTAGACAAATGTATTTTCTTGTTAGTCTTTTATGATTCTACACCTAATGGCTCTTTTTAAGTCCTGTCATAGGGAATAATTTGTGTCCTTTCTGAATCCTGTTTATTCTCACTAGTTGTACGTCAAAGCTGCAATGAGCAAGTACCTAATACATCAGTCTGAGCTGTCTTCGACCAGCCACACTCCTAGTTATATAGATTATGTCCCTTATTGAATTACCATGAAGTGTCCCTTAATATAGCAAATATGCTTAGATCTTCACTATTTACTCAGTTTTTAAAATCTACTTCTCCCCCCAAATATTTCCCAGTTGCCATTAGCTCAGATGATAAGCATCATACTCTAGAACAAGTCACCAGAAACTTTCTTAGAGGTCTACAAAGCTTTATTTTAAATTAGCATTAGCAGATGTCAGCCACCATCTTATCCAAAACCAGAATCACCTTTAAATGTTTAAACTTTTAGAGATGACATGTTAAATTTATTATGTACACATCTAAATTCAACAGGGCTTTTCTACAATCCTAAAACTACATTCTGGTTCACTGAGATATACTATTAGGAGTTAATAATAAACTCACAAAAAATTCGAGTTGGAAGACTTCCAAGATGATTTAGGATAACTCTCCCTTTCACTCAGGCACAAGAAAAGTTAGTTGAACAAGACAAGTTAAATTACTGAAATAATTCAATAGTAAAAATTATCCAGAAACCAAAAACCAAAATTAAAAGTAAATTTATTAAAAATGTTCATATATGAATGAATTATTTGGTATTTAAACTACATTTTCAATAGAAATAACATCATAGATACTAAATGAGCTCACAAACCAGTGAACAAGTATATATTTAAAGGAATTATAGTTATTTTCAAGGGTCTTGGAAATTTTTGGCACTTTATTCTCATTATTTTTCTAAGCATATGTTTTCCTTTTGCTTGATGCAGGAATGACACTAACATTACTCAGCTTTTCAGACATGGTTAGAGTTGTTTTCTGGTTCACAAATGAAACAGAGAAGGAGAAAGCTTTCTATACTAATTATATACTAATTTCTATACTATTTTAATTATTCTATAATTAAAAAGTAGTATGTAACATTATCAAAAGTTAAGATTCATATTTTAAAATACATACATGAAAGAAAACATTCTTCTGGGTGGAAGATAGTAGTATTGAAAAACTAGGTTGGCCACCTGGCAGTCTTATGAGGCTAGAATAATTAAATTAATAGGAAATGAAGAGAAAGAACCTGAGAACAGGAAGTCTAGGGTGGGCCTAGCAAAATTTTTCTGTTTAAGGGACCAAATATTTATGGTTCCTTAATTGAATTTTATACATAAACACTGAAATTTGGATTTCATATAATTTTCAAGTGTCACACAATTATTGCTCTACTTTGATTATTTAAAAATGCTAAAACCATTCTGAACTAACAGACCACATGAAAACAGGTAGTTGGTCTGGATTTGGCCTGTGAACTATGGCTTGCCGGCTTCCAACCTAGGAGATAGAAGGGAGAAAGGGAGGCGGGGTATATTTGGTTTAATAACTAGGGGCACTATCCATGAATGTTCTTCCATTAAACCTAACCAGAAACACAGTTCCTTTCTAACACGTGTATATTAATGTTACTTCCAGTTGCAAAAAAACCAATAAACAAACAACAACAAAAAACAGGCATAGTTCACTGTGCTTAATATTAAAAGAGCTCAAGAAACACAACCATTGATCCTGAGCAAAAATAATTCTCATAAATTATGGTACACTAATCATAATTTTCAGTAGGTAATTCATTCTACAGAATCTTAAAATTATAGCAATAAATGCATTATTAATTACCATTTTGTCCCTGAGTCGCTCTCCACGGATAAAAAAGTCAGCACAGCCATTCTCTTCCAGGTGAGGGACTTTGAAGACAGTGACGCAGCTCAGTCCACTCCCTCCAAGTGGTAACCATCCACCACTTGAGTCATCCCGGGTCATCACCACAGCTCGCACTCGTGCATAACTATTACTAAAATAGATGCAAAGATTATAAATTAGTTTTTCCATTTAAAAATAAACAACCAAGCTGTCAGTCTTATTTGAGAAACCAAAGACCATGTAAGTTAATATGTAGTAACTACAATATTCATTACTTTCATGAGAGTTCACAGAAAGTAACCTACTTGAAAGAGGTCAGAAACCACAAACTAACTTAAAAATTTAACCTTTATTTTGAAGACTAACCTCACACTAAAAGGCTACAGAACTCTTACTTCAATCATTTGACTAGTTCAAGCACATTTAGCTGCCAGGCAATGAGTTAAGAAAAACCCCAGGGACAAACACTGTTAGATTACACAGGCCATCATCAAACTTGTCTGTATATATTCACCTGCTGCAACATAACCAGGACAATTTTTGTTGTATTTTGGTACATTTAATAGTGACACCTCTAAGTGTCTAACATTTCTGGAATATATTATAAATAAATGCTGAAACTCAGACACCACATTTTTAACTTCTTCTAACAACTGGGACTCTAAATCACAGAAATCATATATAGACAAACATTCTGTTTCAGTACCTTAGCAAGCAAATTTTTCAAAAGAAACCTTTCATACCTTCTTTCTGGCCAACTCTATTCTTAAAAGACTACATGCTAATTCCATTCAGAATCATTTGCCAATATTAATCGCAACTTTTTTTTACATAAAACCTAATAAAGTGTTTCATCTACTAATGTTCTAGATAACTGACATCTAACCATTTTAGTTCTAATAATATAATAATTACTGACAAAATCCTTTCTAAAAGTAGTACACCTTGCTGACTTCTTAGAAAAATAAATTGAGTATAACTTAAACTTGTCTCCGTTATTATAAATATCAATTAAGGTTCTATGTAACAGTTCTATGCTAGTTAGTGTCTCTGTACGTTCTAAGTCTTAGGTTGAAAGCTGTCATTTCTCTTGTAGTGTCTGTATGAAATCTCCCCTTTCCTTTCTTTTTACTTTACATACATTGATCTTAAATATATAATTCAACAAATTCTGACAAATGTACATGTCTGTATAACCAACATGATAATCATGATATAGAAGATTTTCATGACTCCAGAAAAGTCCTTTAAGCCTCCTTCCCATCAAACAGATAACCATGGCTCTGATTTCTAAAATATGAGATCTGTCCAGGAGGTACCCAGCCATGTCATAGGAAAAATAGAGACATTTATTGAAGAATATACAAGATACAAGAAACATTGTACATTGGACAATGATACCTAGGTCCCCTTCAAAGTAGGCACCTTGGGACCTCACACAGTTCTCCCAATCGCCATCAGCTGCCCCATCATATTTTCCTGAATCTCACTGATGGTCTGAAATCTCTTCCCTTTCAAAGGTGATTTTAGTTTTGGGAAAAGCCAGAAGTCCCAGGGCACCAAATATGTGGTGTAAGGGGGCTGAATCACCTGAGTGATTTGATGTCTTGCCAAAAAACTGCAGGAAATGTGATGTATGAGCGGGCACACAGTCATGATGAAGCTGCCAATCATCAGCTGCCTATAGCTGCAGGCTTCTGAATGATTTGAAGAGCTTTTGCGAAGGAATGTTCAAGCTTAATGCAAAATTTTATGCAGATTCACTGTTCTACCTGCTCAGTCATTTTGAATGTGCCGGCCACAAGGTACATATGCTCACTCAATGGCGTCTATTGCCCCCACTGATTAGTACAGTGAAGTTGGTCATGTTCATGCATGTACATTCCAATCCACTCTCCTTGGCTACTACGTTACATTGATATCACACACACCATTCTTGTATACATTAGTGTTTTCTATTATAGGACATCATATAATGGAATCAAATAAAATCACCACTCATAAACTTTATGACGTCTTTTTTTTTTTAGTGATTATATTGTTGTATTAGTAGTTCATCTCTTTTTACTGCTGGGTAGTCCTCTCACTGAATAACTATATCACATTTTATTTATTAGTTCTTATACTGATGGGCACTTGGATTGATCCTAGTTGTTGACTACTTTGAATAAAGCTGTTAAACATTTTAATACAAGTCTTTTTTGTAGAGACATATTTTCATTTCTCTTAATTACCTAGGAATAGAAGTGATGGGTTACTAGTTAAACTGTTTCCCAAAGTGGTTACACCCTTATACATTCCCATTAAAAATATATGGCAATTTCAGTTGCTCCATATTTTTACCAACATTGGACGTTTTCAGATTTTTGTTTTATTCACTGTAGTGAATATAGAGTAATAATCTATTGTTGTTTTAATATTCATTTTCCTGATGACTCATGATGTTGAGCATCTTTTTATATGCTTACTGGCTATTTGTGTGGCTTCTTTTGAAGTCTTTTGATTTTTTTTTTATTATATTGTCTTCTGTCACTAATTTTTTCAGTTCCTTATATACTCTGGAACAAGTCTCTTGTCAGAGAGCTGTATACTTTTAAAGCTGTACTGTGCTGTGGTTGAGTCAAAACTCTGAAGTCAAACTTTCGTAAGTTAGATGCCTGGCTCAACAACTTACTAGCTGTGTGTCCTCAAGCAATTACAGAACCCACCTTGAATAAATATAAATAATGCCTGACATATAATAAACACTACAGAAGTATTAATTATTACTACATAAAGAATTTTAAACTGATACAGCTGTCATTCTGGTCATTCAAAGATAGGGAAAAATCGAATTTACATGGTCAACCATAATTCTCTATTTTCGGGGTCAAAATAATTCTTTATATAAAAGCTCCAAAAGTCTTTAGCTTTACAGGTGACCATTCTAAGGTTTTTTTTAGTAGTCAGTTATTCAGAGGCTCTAATTCTTGTTTGGGCCCAATTCTTACCAGTCTTCAACTCAGAGACCTGGTCAGAAGAGGTATGGGTGCATAAAGGCTGTATTGACATAAATGTCTAATTTGAATCCTCCCCCTGGGATGGGCTTGGAACAAGGGCCTCTACTATAAATATAACATGCATCCTAAGAACCCAGGGAAACTTATTCTAGTGGGTTCTTAGTGGGTTCTGGTCATCAACAACTCAGCTTTCAACTTCAAGACCTAAAACTAGAATACTTACCAAAAGATTCGAGTTGTTCAATATCATGTTATGTTTTTTTCCTTTCTTCCTTCCTTTTTTTTCTTTTTTTGCCAAAACCTTCATTCTTGGCAAGGTTAATTTTTCACCTGTTTTAAACACCATAACCTTCTCACCTTCAAATGTCCTCTTTTCCCAAATAAAAGCAGTAACTCTGTCTAAAACATGCAACCATTACCAAAGACTACTGGCAGCTCTTACAAACTTTGTCATACTCTTTCTTGAAGCACTATAAAATCTGCACTTACCATTCCCTCCTTAGACAGAAGTGACTTAAGTGTAAGAAACCAAATCATATTCTTCTATTTAAAGTAATAATAAAATTTTTTCTTGATCATGTAAACAACAGAAGCCCATTCTAATAAATTTGGAAAGTAATAATAATATTGACCATCACGGAATTAAAATTCAAAAACCTATTGGATTTCTTACCCTCTGGGTATCATATTTGCAATCTGTTGGTCTCTCACACAACAGCCATTTATGACAACATATCTTTACTGCCAGAAACTCAGAAATTTCACTTGAGATTCTTTAAACTACTTACTTGAAAGGCAGCTATTCCCAGTGATTTATCTAAAAAGTCAAATCTGACAATTATTAATTCTTTAGTATTATTTAAAAAAATACTTCCAACTAAAGCTCTATTCTTCACTTTAACAATGAACTACATAACAACCACTTTTTCATCCTAGCTTTAATTCTAATGAAATGAAGAGGCTTGTATTGTAAAATGTTGCTTGATTTCCTTTATTTTATTCAAAATCTAAATTGTATCTCAACTATTAATCTGTGATCTTATTTGAACAATTATATCAAATATATCCTTTCACCCACAACAGGGGACTTGAACAACTAATGAAGAAGTCCAGGTGAGAAGTAATGTTGGACTGAACTAAGGTGATAACAATGGACACAGAGGAACGGACTGATTTGGGTCTACTTTGGCAGAAGAGCCAAAGGACTTGATGACGAAGTATAACTACATAGTAAGAGTTCTAAATTATCTAAAATTCTTAATAGTAACCGTGAGCTTTATTTTCTAAAATTTCCAACTGGTATTTCAGGAAGTTAAGGCAAAAAGAGGACCAAACACAAAAATATATGGCCTCCTTTTTTTAGTTTCTTTGATCCCTTGTAGAAACCTCCTGCTCTGTTATTACCAAGCCTATAATATCTACCCATCAGCCTTTTTGCTATTTTCATTCTTTCTATAAGATCCCTAATTTTCAGCTGGGTTGTTTGTCTTTATTCTATTGATCTGCATAAATTCTTTGTATTATAGATACTAATTTTTGCCAGTAATGTGAATTATAAATACCTTGTTCCAATCTGTGGCTTCTTTATTTTTTTAATATTGTCTTTTTTTAAAAAGATTTTATTTATTTATTTATTTTTAGAGAGGAGGTAAGGGAGGGAGAAAGAAAGTGAGAGAAATATCCATGTGTGGTTGGTTGCCTCTGGCGTGCCCTGAACTGGGGTCCTGACCAGCAACTCAAGTATGTGCGCAGACTGCGAATCGAACCAGCGACCCTTTGGTTTGCAGCCACACCAGCCAGGCAATATTGTCTTTTAAAGAACTAAGTTTTTATTTTGCCATGGTCAAATGTATATCTTTTCCTTTATGATTTGTACTGTTGACTTTTGTAAGATCTCATATGTATCTATTTTAAACCATTTATATCCTATTGAGAAAGAAAATATTTTTTCTTTCGAAGTCACTTTAGCAAATAGAATACTCTATTCTCTGTGAAAGTAAGAAAGTCTCTCTATCATCTATTCAGGCAGAGCTAGTATTTATGTATTTACTGAATTATAACACACACTAGTCCTTTTCCATTGTCCATAAGTTAAATCTACTTTGGTCTTTCTCAGCTACATATGATTCTGTTTTCCGGGGCATAGAAACCA